AGTTTTTTCTTTCATTTCATGGCCACAAGAAAACGAGTTTCGCACATTCTTCGGATTAACAGCATATATCTACTGGATTCTCAGAATAGCTGATGCCGATAAATTTGTAGACATTTGTTACTACAAGAATATCTACTGCTGTATCGTTGGATTTGTTGAATTCGTTTGTGCACCAAATTTTGTTTTGTCAAAATTGCAGTTTTTACCAGAAAAGAAAAGCAATGATGAAAATTACACTTGATTTGGATATAAACGTTACAAGCGGTTATCCAATCACAAATTTATAAAATGCCACTATTTTTTCAAAAATTAGAGTTTTGCTAAATTTATCCGATATGATAATCCGATATCGCTATCTTGTTGTTGAAAATTTGGCATCAAAGAATACCAAAATTTAGCAATAGAATTCTTCAATAATCCGTTTTTAAAAACTCTTCTCCTTTCCTACCCTCTTTACAAAAAAACAGGAGACAGTATATTGAGAGACTTTTTCTAAAGTTGAAGTTAATTAATACTCATCAAAGAAACAAACAGACTTTTTCATTGCCGATTATGTGCTCAAAAACAATTTATTCAGTATCTACTAGCTTGAGCTATCTATATTTTGTGAAAGTATGATCTACCTGCAGTTGTGTGGTCATTTTACAACGGTTTACTAACTTATATTTTTTTTTAATCGTCTACCTTTATAGTACCCGAATTGGCTTTTTTCTCAACTTTTATTCCACATTTTAATGTTCAGTTTTTCCTGTACAGTAAAACCAGAATGCGGCACAAATCAAAATGAAGCAAAAATTGAACCAAATAAAAACTTGTCTAACCAGAAGTTCGGTTTAATTACTTTAAAGTTTCTTGCAAAACGAAAAAAAATCTCTTCATGTTTTGAAATGTTTCTGTCATTAAAACAACGTGAAATTCAAACATAATCTTTGCAGCTGTTTTTTTTTGTAACTGATAATATGCATTAAATTGATCTTAAAAGTAGATAAATGTTAAATTTCAAGAACAGTTAAAAATTTCTTTGCTAAAGAAACGTACTAATTAATTTATTACCAGTTAGAAATCTTATACGATATAGAAAAATTATTTGAGTTACAATATTATGTCAAGCGATGGTCACAAGATGATGCTAAGTAAAAGCTAATGCTGCTAAAATTTTCGACAATCTCAGACCAATTGAAATTAAAACTAAGGAATCTGTTCCTGGTTCTCACAACTAATCATCAGATGCTGAGTTCTGTCGCTTTTGTTGGAAGATAGATTGAATAATAAGAATCGCTCAAACGCAAATTATTCTTGCCAAGGAAAGCTTCAAGTTGTGCCCATCTCCTTACCAAAAGAGTTGGAGTCGGAGAAAGAATGGAAGAAGATGTAGAATGAGGTCCTGCACGGTTTTGGTGAAGATGAACGAACGAAGAAAATAAGAAAGGGTAAAAAGTAGCGGAATGATAGAAAGTTAGTAAGTCTGAGAGATTAAAAGAAACCTTCCTTTTTGCCAGGATACCGTAATGACTTCTTTTTATTCAGAACAAAGAAATCTTGTACACCAAACTACAATTTTTTTTACCCGAAGTTTCGAAAAGCTAGAAGAACGTTAACAGTATTTTCGTAGATCAGTTCTGATTTGAAGACAGACAAATGATCAAAATTTTTTTTGGTTATTTTTTATGCCCGGCGGCAGTTTCTTGCTACTATTTTACGTTTCTCAAATTTGTTGTACTCGTAGATTTTTAATCAGTTGCTATTTTTAGAAACTACAAAACGTTGTAATGAGCTTCAAAAGCAGTAAGTTTTGCTCACAGTACTTACACTATGTTTTTTTCTTGTTATGCTGAAATGTAGACAGGATCTTACTAAAGTAAACCAAAATCCTTTGTATTGAGACCACAAAATTCTAGAAACATTACAACTTATTAAAATGCGGAAGTTTCACTTAATGGCGGAATTTCCACAAAAAAAAACCTGCTTTAGTAAGTTTGTAACATTTTGAACTATGTAGAAGAAAAAAAAAAGCAAATATACAGCTGAGTCGTTTGTTGAAGACGGCTTCACGAGTCCACAGTTTAAACAACTGAGTTTTGAAGTAGGTGTTTACTCCTTGTTTCCTTTCCGTATTTAATAAACAGTCTTAAAAGGTAATTTATGTAATTTATGATCATAATTTTTTTTCTGTAAATAAAATATGCTGTTTTTTATTTGTTGAAAAATACTCAGAAATTTTTTTATTTGTTTGTGAGTCATTCAACAGGTACAGCAAGCAGCTAATTAAAACTTTACAAACTATTTTATTCTAAGATGCTGTAGAGAAAACAAGGTAAATTTATGTAAACATGCAAAACCACTTTTTATCAGACTTTGTTAATATACTCAACATTCCTCAATAAGTTGACGCATGTTAATAAAAATTTATTATATAAATGATAAAGGTTTTGTAACCTTATAGTAGTCAATTTTTTTTTGAAGTCTTTATAGAAAACTTTTCAATTAACAGAATTCTAGTGAAAAGAGAACATTTTTTTGTTTATATTCTTTCAAATCTCACTTTTTTGAGAAAAATTTCCCTTTTAGTGATTCATACTGCGTTAACTGTTTTATGATAAAGATCACAAGGCAGAAAATTTGTATCAGAATCCATTTTAAAAAAAGCATTAGACTTGAATGTTCTGCGACGTTTTAAATAATTAAGTTGGTCAAATTTAGCCTGTTACAAAAACTTCTAGATCTGGTGAACAAAAAGTCAAAGATGTCTTCATAAAGCTGAACAAAGACTTAAACAACTAACAGCCAGAAAATTATCAAGAAATAAAACTTTCTTTCGACTTGAAAAATAAAAAGAAAAATTAAAGCGATTATGCGTAATCGAAGACTACCGGAAGTAATATAAGTCACTTTTTAAACAGTGATAGTTCTTATTCTCCCAGAATACTCTTCAAAATGGCTATGTCTGATAGATAAAAGCAGTTTTCGCTTTCTTCAGTCATTTTCAATGTTTTTCAACCGATCACCGATAAACAGTTGCCACTTAAAAAAATTAATTATAACACAGCTAGACAGCGTTTGACAACCAGAAATTTTTTTGCTTATTTTTAAGTTCACAAATAATATAGGTACTAACAAAAGTATAGCTATTTAAAAAAGTCGTTAAAAATAATAGTAATTATTACATCAAATGACGTGCCAAAATTAAATATGTAAATTTTTTAAGGGAAAATTTGTCTACTGTTTGTTTAGTTGGCAAAAATTCAGTAATAACTCCAATATTGCTCATAAATTTTATATTATTTATTGACTATATTTGACTGCAATTAGCATTTACATTTTTATTACCTTAGATTAACTAGCTTTACTTAGCAGGATGTTATTCTCTATAGACATAGTTACTGCAACAAAGATTGCTTTGTTATGACGTCTATATCAATGAACCTTCGTCACAATGTATCAGCTTAACAGCGCTACAATACCTTTCAGCAGTTTAGACGTACTTTAGATCATGATTTTTTATTGTTTCAACTTTTCAACAGCTTAATAATTTATAGTTTTTTAAAAAGCATCTTTTTTTTAATTTTAACAATTAAAATTCCTTCAAATATGATTGCGAAAAAATGCAGGAAAAACAAGTTATCAAAGCAGCTGATTTTAAGTTAAATGTATAAAAGTCTGTTTTGACATATAAAAAACTTTATTCTTCAAGTGTTCAATCACACTTCGTAAAATGCGAACTTTTATGTCAACAAGTACAAGTCCAGACCATACAGGTGAAAATATAAGTTCTAAAAATGTTGACTTGAATTTAACGTTGCGAAAAAGAAATTAGATATTATTCTAAATGATAAAAAGCTGCTTTCTTAGCTTAAAACAGTAAATATTGTCAATCAGATTAAAACGCAATGGTAAATGATCGACACTAAAAGAATTTTTCTACAGCACTAAGTAACCTTTAACGATTGATTTAACTAAAACCTTGTAAGGCTCAAAAAATCAAGCCCGGTTTAAGATAACTGTTTTAGGCTAAAAATTCATAACAAAAAAAAACGATAGTCTCATATCTGGATATTCTAGTTGCAGGTGTCATTTATAATTGGTCGTCCAAATTCACCACTTTAAATCTTATCCGGCAAAATAACCTAGTTCATAGATGACAGAGGAAGTACACAAGCACTTCACTTTTAAAACTTAAATATTTAATCATTATCTTTCAACCTTTCTAATACTGCTTAGTCATTAAAAATTTTATTAGATGGATACCTCCTACAGAACATTCATCTATCAAAAGCATTTCTAGTAATTGCACAAAGCATTATTATCAAGGCAAACTTGACACATTCTAAATAAGACAGATCAATTATACGACTTGCTGTTTTCAAGTGCAGATGTTATAAGATTTTTACTTTTCTCCTCTTATTAATTCACCTATAGCTTACTTAATACTGCTTGACTGACGTGGATATGAAAGCAGCAATTACTTTCACAGTACTGTTGTGTTTTATCCGAATTCAAAGTTCAAGTAGGTTTACGCTCTTTCTTTACTAATAAACTTTTAAATCATACTTAAAAACTGTATTTTAGGAGAGGCATTGAAATAATTAAAGATTTTTCTACAAAGTCTCTTAAATAAACAAATTACCTGAAAAACTTCTTTTTTTAATATTATCGCCTTATAAGTTGTCTAGATAAGCTCAATGACGAAAAACAAGTAGGCTTCAAATTTTTAGTTTTGTATGACAGCAAAATTACGATAATAACTGATTGTACGACCAACATCTATTGTCCTCGTTCGCTCGCTGGATAAATTCAGAACCATATGCGTACAAAAAAAAAAGTGACTTGAAAAAGCTAGTGGTAACTCTGAGCCATCCCTTTGAAATCCCTTGTCTTTTCTTTTGCAAACACCTCAGTCTTAAGGCGGAATCAAACAATCATTTGAACCGGCAACACTTGGAAAACGCAGTTAGTGTGATGTAAATTCTTAATCAACTTATATGGGGAAGTGACAAATCTAAAACCAAAATGTGACCAGGTATTATTGTCTTGGAGAGTAACTCAGTTTCATAAGCAGCAATTCGCAGATCAGTTTTCTGTAAAGATAAGCTATCGTGTGACATGCAAGATGATCGTCACAATAACATTTTCAACGAAAAGCTCCAAATACTCGTCATTACATAAGTAAAAAAATTTTTTTTTTAATGATCGTCTTTTTTCAAAATTCAACTGTAAAGTATGATCGGAGTCAAAGATGAATAAACCTCTCAGGTTTGTGCAAGTTTCAGTAAGAGTTCTTCGTGAGTAAGTAGTTATGCCAAAAAAATGTTTTATTTCTGACTGAGAGCTACCTGAAGCTACGCAAATTAAGTATTTTTACTGACTGCGACGCGGATTGACTCTAACAGTTACTTTGTATGTGATTTTGTCAGTCCTTAAATCTAATCTAAAAATCTTCTAATTTAAATCATCCGTTTAACAAAACTTTGCCTTATTTTGGATTTCACATTCCTCATTAATAAAAACAGAGTTGGCCATTTGTGCTGTTATGCATTGTTCGCTTTTTTTACATAAATGAGTTTCTCGCACGCGATTATTTGCGTCACCTAAGAAAAGATTCTGTTTTTAAACTTCACTAATCTAACCACAAACTGCTCGTTAGATAACCAGAGATCAACAAAAGATGGATGATCTGTCAATTTTGCTTATACAAAGCCTCCTTTAGCCCTTTTATCGAACTTGCATTAGCATGTTCCAAGCTCTGGCAACTATTAGAAACCCAAGTACCTTTGAACATATTTTTAATGATGTCATGGTCAACATTTATATGAATAAGTACGTAAACTTTTTGGAGATCAGTGATAAAGGTTGATAAAAGGCTTCCCGCTGCCAGAATTGAAATAGCAGATATATTTCTGATTTTTTGACTGTATGTGTTATACATATTTTGTTATGTGGAAATATTTGGTAAATAACTACTTTCTCAGGTGCTCCACAAAATGTGACAACGAAATTGTTGACAACATATTCTGAGTTTGAAACAATCACCTGGCTGAATTCCGATCTAACGTCTTCAACCGCAATAACATCTGAAAATATACTATTTGTTACGGGAACCGCAGAAAATACGCAGACAACCACGACAATAAGTTCAATATTTTCTGAATCTGAGACGACAGTTTCAAACTCTCAAGGTGCATCACTAACTTTAGCAGTTTCCGGATCTAACACAGCAAATTCTACCTTTCAAGATGGAACAACCGTCCCAACAGCTCTTGGAAGTGAGACACCGACTCCAACAATTTCTGAATTCGAAACAACAGTTACAATGACTCCTGGAAGTGAAACATCAACTCGAATTAATCCTGATTCTGAATCAACTGTTTTGACAACTCCTGGAATTGAAACACCGACTGAAACAATTTCTGGCCTTGAAACAACAATTACAACAACTTCTGGAAGTGAAACTTCATCCGTAGTTACTTCCGAACACGAAACATCACTTATAACAACCCCTGGAAGTGGAACATCAGACTTAGCTACTCCTGAATCTGAAACGACAGCTGCAACAACTATCAGCAGTGAAACATCAACTCGAATTAATTCAGATTCTGAATCAACTGCTCCGACAACTCCTGGGATTGAAACACCAACTGAAGCAATTTCTGGCCTTGAAACAACAATTACAACAACTTCTGGAAGTGAAACTTCAACCGTAGTTACTTCCGAACACGAGGCATCACTTATAACAACTCTTGGAAGTGGAACATCAGACTTAGCTACTCCTGAGTCTGAAACGACAACTGCAGCAACTATCAGCAGTGAAACATCAACTTCAACCGCAATCGAATCGGAAACAACAGTAGTAACAAATGTCGCAGACGAAACAACAATTCCAATAATTCCAAACCCTGAAACAACAGTTACAACAACTGTTGAGAGTGGTACAC